TTGGGGCATTCATTTATGACGTGGTCCTCGGTTTCAAGGATTGGTGTTTCAAAGAATGGTAGTTCTTCGAAGAACCGCATGACGTCGGTGTCTGAGGAGCAGCAAAAGCGACATGTTTTCAGTGCTGTGTTGTAGCGATCTCCAGTGTAGCGACCTTTCTCTATCCTCAGATCGTGACTGCTAGATCGAAGTTTCGCAATGTTAGCTCTTTTAACCCTGCATGGGAGCTGTAAGTACGGTTCTTCACCAAACTCAGCTTTGACCGCAGTGTAGAATGACATTTTAGGCTGGTTGTGAAGATCCTTCTTCCAGTGGTTAACAAAAGTTTCGTGTATGTGTTCACGAGCCGGAAGGGTGTGGGGTAGGTGTGGCTTAGCGACAGTGCTCGTCTTGATGATAGTAGACCATGCATCATACCAGGTAAGGTTCAATTGTTTCTGTTCCTGAAATGTATGGTGCAAGAGGGTGTTCACGTTACCTAATACCGCTTGTGATGCTCTACAGAAGTAGGCAATACATTGAGGGAGGACGGTCACTGTCCAGGGGGTTCTACCTGTATCGCCGTAGCAGAAGTTGTTATTTGCCTTGTTGTGGACACCCAATATTCATTTAAGAATTTTCAAGTGAGTAGTTCCAAGAGCATCTTTTGCTGCTGCTATGGGAAGACTCGCTTATTGATTTTTTGAGAGGATAGCTTTCATGATGTTGGTTGATGGCAGCTGCAAATAGGGCAACCATATATGGCCACTGGCTTGACTATAAAGCTATCAATGAGTTTTAGCATCGTGCTAGTGGTAAGGGCTCTCGTGTCAATAGTTCGTCTCAAAGAGAAGAATGAGCGAAGAGCTTTCTTCCTAAGTTCATCGATTGCTTGTTTGAAGGAACCGTTCAGAGAGAATTGGATTCCTAGATAGCAGCATTTTCTGACTGGTGCGATGTCCAAGTTGCCTAGTTTGAAGCCGTAAGCACATTTCAGTATTCGTGAGCTTGTGTTAAAGACCATCAAACTGGTTTTGTTGATATTCACAGACAGCTCCCACTTTTCAGTATAGTCATGCAAGCAATTAAGCAGTTTTTGTAAGCTGTCCGCATCCAGCGCTAAGAGGACCAGGTCATCTGCCCATAGGAGGTGACTTATTTACATATTATGTGTAAAATACGACGATTAGAGGTCACTACGCTGCGCGCAGGGGTGTTAAACTATAATACATAAAATTTGTCGCAAATAATGGGAAAAATCGTGATTCCGTACATGCCGCGATTTCCTTTGTCCCTGATAGGGGTTAACAATGATTATCTGTTATCCCTCTCCCGTTTTCTTTTAGTGAGCGTCATAGACTTAGAGGGAACTATTGTTTATCCTTTAAGAAATGGGGGGCGCGATTCTTGATGCCTGATTTATTAAGCTCATGGTGATCGTCAGCTATGCACCGTCTCCTCCAGCACTCTCCATCACAAGCCTAACAGTAACACTATTGTTGCGGTAAACATAATTTGAGATTACTTTATATAGTCACAGCATTTTAATGCTACTTTGGGATGGCCCAAGCTTAGGTGCCCTGTTGTTTCAGTTTGCTGATATGATTGTAGTAATAGTATTGTAGTAATGACGTTATTATGACAATGATACTGCTATAGTGAGCTTTAATCTCGATGAAGGAGGGCCATGATCAAACTGTTCAAGGCTACTTAAAGAAGGAATACATGATATGAAATATGAAACGCATAATTCTAATTATACTTATAGAAGGATTGAGGAATTACTGGATTTATATTTGCTTGGTTTCGCAAGGTTGTATGACTCAGAAGTTGACTCTGAGGCAAATATTCCATTATAGAACCGCTTAAAAAGATGTCACGTGAGAGCCTGAGAGACAAGACTTGCGTCAACTATTTAACGACACAGCGACATCAAGTAACCAGACAGAATAGCTCTGAGATCATCTCTCAAACTCGTTTAGTAGCTGTTATATCATTTATAAATCGTTTCAAGAATGAAGTAATGATATATCAAGAGGAAGTTCAAATATGGAGAAGAGGCATACCATTTACAAGTTTAAGGATGCGCGATGCAGCTGTCATTGATTTTTAAAAGTTGGTAAATTTCCATGTTTGAAATTTCTTGATTGATGCCATTACATTCATTTATAGATGATATCATAGTTATTATTATAAACGTGTTTGAGAGATGATCTCAGAGCTTTCCAATGAGTTTAAATAGTGCTATTTCGAAGGTACTTCTCGGAGGAACCTCAAAACTCCACTGTCAGCAAGAGAGTGAAGCTTTGCGTTGAGAGTTTCAGTTAACAGACATATTCCTGCAAGGATGTGATATTTATATATATTATATTGGTGAGAGAATCTTTTATTGTTGATTATACATCCAGGTTCACGTACTGTAGTGCGACACGTACTCTAGTGCGACACGTACCCTAGTGCGAAACCTCCAAGATCGACAATGTCGCAGTAGAGTACGCTACCTGGATCGTAGTGCGACACGTACCCTAGTGCGACAGAGAACTTTCAAGGCCGACACTGTCGCACTACAGTGCGCTACCTGGACTGTTATAGTGCGACACGAACTAAAGTGCGACAAAACACTTTAAACATTCAATAAAAATTTTACTTTCCATTTTTAATGACGAGAGTGTAGTCGTGTATGAGTAATGGGGTTAAATATAAAATCAAAGATTGCAATCACAATATTCAAATCATTGTTCCAACACACTTCAACTAATCCATTCTGTAATAATCATCGTAGCTGTCAATCACAGCGTTCAAGCGACGGTCGTAATCAGTCCACTTCTTCAGTCGGCGAAGAAGCATCTTCATTCTTCTGGTTGATCTTCCATTGGGTTAGATCCTGCTCCTTCTTCAGGACGTCGATAAATCGCCAGATAGTAGGGTTGGTGCAGCCCATCAAGGGGGAGAGGAGGTTTGTGTTCCGACCCAGGTACGTTCGTAGTAGTCACTAGGCAGCAAAGGAATCCATCTCCGAAGGAAGGGTTGCTTTCAGCTGCGTCCAGGTCACAGTAGTGTTGTTCGTCAGACTGAGACGTCCGGAGCAGGTCTTCTCAGTGCATCGCAAGTAGGTCTTGTCGTCGCGATTCTTATCCAGGCAGTAGCGGTATCCGTCGTAGATAACGTTTCTTGAACCAGTAGTGCGTCCAGGAATGAAGGTGATTGAAGAAGACATGTTGATGTTGTTCGATGCTTTGGTAGAATCATCGTGACCTTATTTATGGCCCAAGCATATGAACTTGTTATCCCAATCGGAGATATACCTTCATACGATGCGTGTGATAGGAATGAGGATCATATGCTGCTTAAGAGTTACCCAGTGGATCACACACTGCATACGTGGCTTGAACTGACCCGAAGGAATTATGATCAGTGGATAACTTCGAAACACGTGATGTGAACCGACGAATCGTATTCGCAAGATCAATTCGAAATAAGTGACGTGAACCGACCCGACGAGTCACTTAATGGTCCATAAGAAGGATAGGATGTGACCTGAACTTGGAAATAAGGCAGGATATTTTGTCGCACTAGAGTACGCTACCTGGATCGTAGTGCGACACGTACTGTAGTGCGACAGAGGGTGTTTTTGTCGGACTTCGCACTAGAGTACGTGTCGCACTAGAGTACGTGTCGCACTACAGTACGATTACCTACATCCAGGACTTAAAGATTGAAAGCTGTTTCTTTATAATATACAAGTGGTTCAAATTATTTAATTTGTGGATTAGTTTGTGAATTAATTAGTTTGATCATTCTTGTCCAGCTCATAAACGTTACAAATCTTAACCTTAATGCGCATTTTTTATTCGTTATAATTATATTTGTCTAAATCCACTATTAGAGACTCGATTCGAGTGTTTCGTAACTTGTTCAATAAATTTCACATTTTTGTAGCCTGCAGACAACAGATAACAGCTTTTTTCACATCGCTAGGCCCTTACAATTATAAACGGCTATAAACGGCTTTTATAGCTCTAAGTCTAACTCTGTAATAAGAGCGGCTTCCAAACTTCCATATACCTTACCGGACTTTACCGGCTGGACTTACCGGCTGGACTTACCGGCTGGAGGCCCTAGCGTTCATTTTAATGTTTGTTTTTCAGATATAATGATTTAGGATTGAAAACTCTAAATTATTAATTTATAATTGAAAACTCTAAACCATTATCTACACTCAGTACAGTGCCCGGGAATGATCATACTGGTGGTTATCCAGTTTAGGGGATCATTAATTAGGGAGATGACTGTTGACTAGATTTACTACGGTTAAATAGTTTGACTAGAGCTATACGTTGTGGGGGCATGCACTGAATAAGGGTGACGCGCGCTGCTGCATTCACGAATTTGTCAGTTCGAGTTTGATTAATTTGAAGCATTTGGATACGTGTTTGACTTTGTTTATAAAGTAGTGGCAACTGCTTCAAGCATGAGCATTTTGTTGAATTTATGCATAACTTTAAAGTACAACTAATTAGAAGTGTTGTTTATAAAATCGAGACAGTTTAATGTCGTCGGCAGGTTAATTCGTTTGGTTAGTTTTCGTCTGGGATAAAATAACTTCTAAAGAGTTAAATTTAGTAAACATTTGTTTTGACGTATAATTTAATATCTGATTGTGCAACTTAAATCATTTTATTTCGCTGTTATTTAAAGCATTGCGGAAGTTGTTATTTTCCAGTTTGGTTAAATGTATCCCAACTGAGAGATGCAGTATAAAATGTTATCACTTGACAACTCTATACTTCTATACATTAGCGTTATTAAATACATTTTACTCTCTATACATTAGCGTTATTAAATACATTTTACACTCTATACATTAGCGTTATTAAATACATTTTAATCTATAACTCTAAACTCGATACATTAGCGTTATTAAATACATTTTGATTTAGCGATATCTGTTTGCATGATACATACATCTATCAAATCATTAGCTGTACTATCTTATTATGGCAGAATAACTGGAACGTACAATGACCCAAATACTGGACAACCCCTATTTCATGATATTCCTATCTTCCACCCTTGTCCTGTTTTGCGCCATCGGCACTCTCGGTATGTTTTACTCAAATCAGCTGTTTATTTTTGACCTGGATTGTTTTAAATTAAATAGTTCTAATATTTTTAGCACTTTTATTTATACCGACCTTTTTATTGGATAAATGTAATTTATAGTTTTTAACATGATCTGAATAACTAAATTGACTCGGTGTTCGATTTACCAAAAAAAGGTCGTACTTTTGAATCGTGAGTGTTTAAACAGAAAAACTGAAAAACTTGTCTGAAAATGAGATTTTATGTAGTTTTAGTGACATAACAATTTCAGGTAATATTCTAGCATTGATCTGTGCTACAAAAAATCCCGCTCTCCGGACGGTTGGAAACAAGTTCATCCTCAACCTGGCGGTTTCAGACTTTTTCATCTGCACATGGACAATGCCAACTGTTGCCCTCTGCGTGATACGACGAGAGTGGACTCTTGGTGACCTAGGTATGTACTAACATGACTTTTTGAGACCTATAGGTATACCCTAACTTGACTCTCGGTGAAAGTACTACGCACTTTCTGTCGCACGTCAGAGTTGTCTAAGATTAAACCCTTCACATCACTTGCCCGGTCGTGGGGGTCCGTATAATTTATAGCCCTCAGACGATGTTGAGTTATTAAAAAAGGTTAAGTATCTTTGTCGGATTGTCATTACTACTGCGGTCTTAACTATGTTAGATGTGTAGTTAGATGGTTACAAATATTTACCCTGAAAACCGCGGGGAACTACAGATATCTGATAGCTATGAATATATATATAAATATTATAAGTATAAGTACAGTAAAAAAGTATTACAGTATATACATAAATACTCTAGATTGTTTGCCGGATTCATTGATCTGCTCCAGTTTGCTGTCAATACACTCACAGTTGCTTGAGACTAAAGAATTAGTAGTAAATCTTTCAAAGTACGAAATATCTCTTTAAAAGAGCATCCTAGGCACCTTATAGATATCAAAACGCATAAAAAGAAAACAAAAACATCAACCATCTTCTAACTTCTTCCACTCCTCCCTATCTAAAGCTAAAAATCTAAGGTCTTCGAAATCAGTCAAATTCTTAAGTCTAATATCAAGATTTCTACTAGTCAAGTCTTTTCTAATAACATTTAATAAGTTTAAACATGGTCTACCCCGTCTCCCTTCCATAAAAATATCAGAATTTATAGCAAATAACATAGAGGTGTATGCTGGTGAGTCTTCCTGTCCTCTTAAGATATGTCCTAACATTCTCCATTGAAACTTAGAGACTCTCACAGACAAGGGAGTGACATAACAACGAGCATTGAGTGCCTCATTAGAAATAACCCCAGTAGGCTTTTTTAACTGAACATATCTGTTCTTATCTTGTATAAAAAATATACCTTGCCGGTCATTATTATAACAAATTATCCGTCCATTAATATCATCACCACGTGACGTCACACATCTCACCACGTGACGTCACACACTCCATCTTTAATCTGTCTCGAGTGTCAATTAGTGAGTCCTGCTGAACTGAAGTGTGGTCACTATATTCCTACTGAGGTGTGGTCACTGTATTCCTACTGAGGTGTGGTCACTATATTCCTACTGAGGTGTGGTCATGCTATATTCCTACTGAGGTGTGGACTCTGTATTCCTACTGAGGTGTGGTCACTATATTCCTACTGAGGTGTGGTCACTATATTCCTACTGAGGTGTGGTCACTATATTCCTACTGAGGTGTGGTCACTATATTCTTACTGAGGTGTGGTCACTATATTCCTACTGAGGTGTGGTCACTATATTCCTACTGAGGAGTGGTCACTATATTCCTACTGAGGTGTGAACACTATATTCCTACTGAGGTGTGGTCACTGTATTCCTACTGAGGTGTGGACACTATATTCCTACTGAGGTGTGGACACTGTATTCCTACTGAGGTGTGGTCACTGTATTCCTACTGAGGTGTGGTCACTGTATTCCTACTGACTACTGAGGTGTGGTCACTGTATTCCTACTGAGGTGTGGTCACTATATTCATTATTCCTACTGAGTTGTGGTCACTATATCCTTACTGAGGTGTGGACACTATATTCCTACTGAGGTGTGGTCACTATATTCCTACTGAGGTGTGGACACTATATTCCTACTGAGGTGTGGACACTATATTCCTACTGAGGTGTGGTCACTATATTCCTACTGAGGTGTGGTCACTATATTCCTACTGAGGTGTGGACACTATATTCCTACTGAGGTGTGGTCACTATATTCCTACTGAGGTGTGGACACTATATTCCTACTGAGGTGTGGACACTATATTCCTACTGAGGTGTGGTCACTGTATTCCTACTGAGGTGTGGTCACTGTATTCCTACTGAGGTGTGGTCACTATATTCATTATTCCTACTGAGTTGTGGTCACTATATCCTTACTGGGGTGTGGACACTATATTCCTACTGAGGTCTGGTCACTATATTCCTACTGAGGTGTGGTCACTATATTCTTACTGAGGTGTGGACACTGTATTCCTACTGAGGTGTGGTCACTATATTCCTACTGAGGTGTGGTCACTGTATTCCTACTGAGGTGTGGTCACTATATTCATTATTCCTACTGAGTTGTGGTCACTATATCCTTACTGAGGTGTGACACTATATTCCTACTGAGGTGTGGTCACTATATTCCTACTGAGGTGTGGTCACTGTATTCCTACTGAGGTGTGGTCACTATATTCCTACTGAGGTGTGGTCACTGTATTCCTACTGAGGTGTGGTCACTATATTCCTACTGAGGTGTGGTCACTATATTCTTACTGAGGTGTGGTCACTATATTCCTACTGAGGTGTGGTCACTATATTCTTACTGAGGTGTGGTCACTATATTCCTACTGAGGTGTGGTCACTGTATTCTTACTGAGGTGTGGTCACTATATTCCTACTGAGGTGTGGTCACTGTATTCCTACTGAGGTGTGGTCACTATATTCCTACTCAGACTTTCCCTCATTACTTAACATGGAGCCTTGTTTTCAACTCCAGGGCCTGGTGTCGCTTATATGTCGCTTATATGTAGTATAACATGACGTGCAACTAAACAGTTAACCTGCAAAGATATTGCAAAAATATTGATCGTCAAATTGTCACATTTATAACTCACAGCGCCGTGAGCATCTGATCTGTCAAAAAATCACTTATAATTCGAGGTTTCATGAATTTATAATGTCACGCCTATAACCATTGACCACGCAGTCACTATGGCAGCACATGCAGTCACCATGACAGTACATGCACAGTCATACTTACAGATATAATGATAAATAACAGGTAGATTCGTCTCCGCACCTGGGTCTCCAGTTAAACCTGAATTAAGAGCAGATCAAATTAAACAACACCATATTGAGATGGGTCTACCAGTATAACTAAAATTTCTCCGCTAGAAAAATTAACGGTTTAATCATCGGAAATATAGTTTGCCACTGTAGCAAAGCCGAAGTATGAGGTAGTGACAGACAATTAGCTAAATTCTATTTTTTAACATACCATGTAAGCTATAATTTGAGTGCCGGTGGAGTGCTGGTATGCACCTCTCTACATTGATTTTGACCCTTAGTAGAGCCTTGTAAGAGTAGTTGTAAGAGTAGTTGTAAGAGCCGTTGTCAAGAATATTGAGAAAATAACTCGTGCACTAACAAACACCAACGAACATATTTATGGGAACAGACTTTTAGGGATTGCAAAAGAAAATGAGTGGTTGTAAATGAACTAGAAAAATCGAGTGAAGAAATTTAGGATGTGATTTCCATGTTGTGTTTATCCAACAAAATGATAAGAAACTAAATTATATACATTAAACAGCCCCTAACCCAATATCTGTTTACAGCGTGTGAGATCGGAGGGTTTATTGACAACGTGATGCTCACAGCCTCCGTTTGGACACTCGGATTCTCCTCTCTCAACAGGTACTTCAAGATCACCAAACCCTTCCAGTACGCCAGCTTCATGAACCAAAGGAACAGCAATCTTATCATTTCTGCAATCTGGATCATTGCCATTCTTACTGCTGGTTTGTTTTTCAGAGTTTATTTTTGTTTTGATGTTCATTCATTGAAAAAATTTCAGGTGATAACTTAATAAGGTTAAATTTGAATGTTATTTTAAAGACACAGACTACTTATTTTTGAGCAATCAACATATCCTTATATAATATATAGTTCATACTCTACAATTTAAGAATTTATAATGATCTTGCAACTTTCCCACGGGTAAGATTGAATGATACCATTTATACCCTTTCTTGGCTTCATCAATTTCTCTGATTGTTGAAACATTTATAAATTTCATATCATTTTACACTGTTTCACGAAGGAGCTGCCTGGCACAAACTCAAACTGTTTAATACAACAGCTGACCTACTTAGTACTTGAATCTAAGATCTGTCATTCCCTTGCATTGTGAAACTTGCTTATGGAGCGAGCTGTCAGCTAAACAGTACTTGCGTCAGCCACGGTTTCGAGCTGTCAGTCCGATTTACCCGTGGTAAAGTTTAAAACTGTAATTAGATCTTTTAAAGGCATTGACCTTACAGTTTTTGTTAATTAACAGATACCAGGGACCAAACACGAAGGGTGCCTCCCTCACAAACTCTCCTTAAACTGCATAATTACGATCTCTGGCGAGTTGGGGTTAATGCATGTATATCGCTTGAAATCAAAGTTCACGAATCAATCCAATTTTAAGGTCTTATTATGAAGAGTGACTAGACTGTTATAAGATCATTAGAGCTTTAAAGTTGATACCGGATGCTAAATTTTGAGATTACACCAGGTCTCCTGCGACAATGTAATATTTGTTCTGCACCATCATCAGCTGCAATCAAGAACTCAGAACTGTTTTATTAACAACCTGTCATGTAAAAACCTTTATGGTATTTTCTACGTTTATAAATATGATATCACAATTTTTGTAGATCCTAAATGTCTCTGCATTTAGCGAGGAATTCATAAAAAGTAACTCTTCAAAGCTTTGCTAATTGACTTATATAATTGCTGAACTTGCAGACGGTATATTATTGCCACGGGCCTTTATATTTGTAAACAGCTATAAGACTTTGAGAGTAATTTTAAATGGTCGAATATATTGAGGAAGAACTGCCTAAACCTCTAAATGCCCTATAAATACAAAATCCCGGCATAGAAGTTAAACTTATTTAACCCTAGATACAGACCCTAGTGAGGGACATTATTTGACACAAATCATTATCAAACATCGAATGTCGGAAATCATGTTAGTTTAATGAAATTCATTATGTATTCATTATGAATACTTTGATATGAATATTGTAATAATAACTGTTCCTGGAATCCATGGAGTAGCGTTTTCTTGTCACGCACATCTCGAACACATCTCGAATTAATTGAAATAAACGAGTGCAAACTTTAAACTTTTGCGGCCCATCTTACACAAACTATTTTCTCTGCTAAGATTGATTTAAGGAAAAAAAGGTGAAATTTATTCATCTCAGGAGGCCAGTTTACCAAGTAAGATGCCTAATTCTTTACTCAATTGTTCTAACCTACCCTCAGGTCCTCCTCTTGTGGGCTGGAACTCTTACAAGTTCAACGGATCCCTCAGCTGCGGTATCCACACTATAAACATGTAGGTTATAACCTAGGATATTGACATGTAGGATGACATGTAGGATATTGTAATGTAGGATGTTGACATGTAGGATATTGACATGTAGGATGACATGTAGGATATTGTAATGTAGGATGACATGTAGGATATTGTAATGTAGGATGACATGTAGGATATTGTAATGTGGGATGACATGTAGGATATTGTAATGTAGGATATTGACATGTAGGATATTGACATGTAGGATGACATGTAGGATATTGTAATGTAGGACGTAGGTAACTTAATATTGAATATATTTTACCACCTATAGCTAATTTTTGTGTTATCAATCAATTTCAGTAAACTGAGTTTGACTTTAATTCTAAAATTAATATGCTGTCTCCACTCTTTAGTTTCGCGTATAGAGTTTAAGTTGTCTGTCTCTGAGAAACATTACGGTTTGATTACCTAATGTCTATATTCCGACATTGATAAATTTGACATAATATCTTGATCAGACGACAGTTATCGAAAATTAAATGTGTCTGTATTACAATTAATATTTTGAGTGATACGTCGACTCACACGATGATTTTTTTTCTTTTTTTGACACGATGAACTCAATCCTGATACCTGAATATCCCAGGACGAGTTTAGCAGGAAGGTATTTTATCTACCTGACAGCCATGTACTTACCAGTACCACTATGTCTTATACTATTCTCCTACACTCACATCTTCCTGACAGCTAGACGCCAGTAAGTTTAGTTATTATTTATTATGATGATGCGTTATGGTCTTATCATTATGAGAATTCGTTTTGAGTTTTTTTGATGATCTAATGATTCGTAAAAAATTTAGAGAAGTACCCCACTGCAGTGAAATTTAAGATAAAGCCTGCAGAAATAAATGAAATGGATAACTACAATGACAAATTAAAGAAATGAAAAGAGTGATCAAGCCGTGATATATAATTTCGTAGCCTCACCTGATCCCAATAACTAACAGGAAAAAAGCCTCGAAAGCCCGGAAAATGAACCACTTCGCCACGACCAGCAACCTCAAAGAAGAGCCCAACAGAATCCCCGAGGAGATGCCCGGAAGGTCTTCAGAGGACATGCCCTCTGCTGAAGCTGTCTCCTACCCGAACCACACCGAGGATATGCTCCAAACGTCTTCTCAGCACGGGAGAAAGCCTCCTCCCCGACGGTCAGCACGGGCCTCAGGGAGACTGGACAGAACCACCATTATGATAATTGTTATCATCGGCATGACCATGATCACACAGATACCAGTCTGTTTTGTGTATGGTATCAACTATTTCTTGTTCGGGGACGACTCCAAATCACGGATTCACTTGCCGGACTACATAGACATATTACTTCACTGGCTCTTACTGCTGAACAGTGCCGCTGATCCCGTCATATACGGACTGATGAACCCTCCTTTCCGACGGGCTTATCTCAAATTCTTTAACAGTCTGAGGTATATTATGACTAAGAGAACCCGGGATAACACTGTTACCAGGAACGCAGAGTCTTACCTCTACAAATAGAGCTCGCAAAGTATATATAAAGCTCCTTCAATCTCCTATTAAATTCTCGGGTAGCCTTCATTATTTAATTGCCAAGAGATTGAGGGGGATGGTGGGTGTTGTATTGAATTTGACATATGTTATTAAATGCGAGTGTTCAACTTCTAGTTCAGACATTGTGGCGGTGTGTCAGAACGTTACTTGTAGTTGCCAAGGCAACTAAATTCTGACAGCTGCATCAGAGTATCTTAGAATGGTATGCAGTTTATGGTGAAAAATGGATATTTAAACTTTTATAAGCGGTTTAAATTTAATTAAGTATTTCAGACGTTTTGGTTCACTTAAAAAAAATTTATGAGCACGAAATGTTTGATTTATCATCATAATAAAAAGGTTCAAGCCGAATAATAAATCGATTAATCACTTTTTGAAATCATTTAATTGTCACTAAGGTTGGTGGACAGTTAGATGGAATTAACGTCGCTTGAAGACCCTCTTTAGCCAGCCTGGAGTTTACCAATTGGATTAAATGAGGACATTATTGATTCAGAACTTTATTTTATGAGGCAGAAATATTAAAATTCTGATCAAAAACATGGCCAAAAATATTTTTGCGCAGTGCCAACAATGATCATCATATTTTATACCAATAAAAGTTTTCATGAATGGAAAATTCTGTCGTGTCTAAATGCGAGAGCTGCAGTCGGGATATACAGTTGAACAAAGTATCTAGACGGTAACCCTGACTTGGTAACCTTCGTTACCAGGTTCAGTTACTATGGACCTCAGAGTAGACAATTAGCAAACAAAAAGTCAATCGCAACAATTATAAGGACAGGTTTACTATTTTCTAATTGAACGTAATGATTTATTTGTGCTTGTTTTTGTTTAATTTTCATGTGTTTATTGTTTAATGAATTTGATTTTACCATGCCAATATTTTGATATATTTAAATGACGCTATAATTGTAAAATTCCGTGACAAAGGCATGCGAATATATGTTTTTAACACAATACTCAATTTTATTTTAATAATCAAATTTATTTTGATATTTTTTGATTACGTAATCGATAAATCGTAATCAAATTGGTTTTGAAATATGCTTTTGCAAGTTTTACCAGTTTTTTTTGGGGAAATGATGCAGAAAATATCTCATTCAGAGATATTGGTATTTTATGGTACAATTATATCACCGCATACTATACAGCTATAATTCATACTTAAAGGCTTTAATTTTTAAGGATTCGGTATTATCATAGGACAGTATTATCATAAAACTGACAGTTACAAATTACAGTATCAAGCGATACTGATGTTAAATGGTATGTTATACTGTTATACTTCCATATTGAACATCTATAAGTATTATATGATATCCAGACTAGCAAATAATGCTAATATCCTTTTTAAACGCTAGATTGAAACAGTGTCTTGCTGCTGAATTTTGAGTGCCATTATGTCTTCGAATCGATTTTATAAGCAATTACTTAACTTAAAAGATAAGCTCTTCGTTGGTTAATAAATTTTCATCTCGAACGCTAAAATTTTGAAGTCTTAATTCTATAGATACAAATTACATGTCAGCTCATTACACCTTACCGTTACACCATTACATTAAGGCTTGCTATTTTAAATTAAACTAATGTATTAGAAAGTGTTTTTAATTGTGACATTCTCATTGTAATGTATAATTCTTTTTAATGTTTACATGTCAATAAAGTTAATGTTTTATATTAATTAGATTTAACCCTCCTCTTATATTGATTTGCGGTACCAAGAATTACTACCATATTTGGAATTACGACCTTATATGGTAGTAAACATTACTGTCGAAATTGTTGCGTGTCAAAAGAAATATTTGGCCGACATTCTACTGTTTATCCAAAACAACCTAGAAACAACCTAGAAACTTTAAATTGTCATATTTGATTACAAGAAACTTCGAAAATGATATGCTGTTTGAAGTTCCATTACCCTTTATAATCAAAACTTGTAATCTATTTGCCAGTTTTGTGAACTTATGAATTCTGACAACCGGGCGGTAAAGCCAATTAAATTATCAGAACGCTGTCACGTGCGTATAATGAATTTGTATCATCAATTTGAAATGCAATTCCTGTCATTCAAGACTCTGACACTATTTGACAACTCAACAAAAGATATGTCTCCCGTACCGGAACCATTATAAGCTTCCTGTAACTTATTAAAAATATTAAACTGTTAACTGTTTTTCAAGGGATAACGATGAAATAACTTTACTGACTATACTGTTAAACTAATTCATTTACATGCATAGTTACATACTTATTCTATTCCAGTTCAATGTTTCAAGGTATTGTTTATGGATTTTATTTTTGCTTGAAGAGAACCTACGTTATAGGAAAACTAGAACAATCTGATAACATATTGAGGCTATTTCGTAGTTTTATCTCATTCCATTGTGTAAATGCTGTTTTGTGTGATACAATTAGTTGATTGATACAATCATAAGACAGTTTCTCATTAATTTCTAACCCAAATATTAATTTGTGACCAAATGATATAAACTGTGTAGCCTTCATCAATGATGAAACCACAATGAACTGCCATCTCACTGAAAATAGCAATTTAAGGTCAAACTTACTGAAGAAGAAAAGTGAAAATAACTGAAGATAGAAAGTGAAACTAATTGTAGCTGTGACTTCACATGATACTATCCAAGAATCATGTAGGTATAAACTCAAAATCATATATAGATAATAAATATATAGAAGACTAGAATCAATAGTTTAAAGAGTATAACAATTAAATATTTAGAAGCTGTTATGAAAATTAAAATTCTCACCATGACAAAACATTGACACTAATCTTCTGCGACAGTTTTTACAATTGTCACATATTAGAATCAGCAACAGGGTTGTCCATTACATATCCTTCGTCGTCCTCTTACACCCCTGCACGTAACAGTGGCGACGTAATTGATAATGTCCCCGATCATGATGACGTGGACGGAGACGGTATGTTGTTATCAAATTCTAGTTTAAACTGAAAATGCATTTGGCACAACCGGTTCTCAGGAAAACAAAAATATGTGATTAATAATCATGTATTAATGTTATTCATAGTCGCAACGTCTCAGTAAAATACATCATAACATTATCATTACGTCGTAAAAATAAAGTATTTGTAATACTAATACTATTACATGCAGCCATAAAAATAGGTCGTGGATCGTATTTTCAATTTGGGATATATTTCTAAGTTTCTCAAGAGTTCGACTTTCTAAATAGTTAAATTACAAATTTTGAATTATGGAGCCGCTGTAAATTAAATTAAAATTCTCACCAAGACAAACCATTGACACTCATCTTCTGCGACAGTTTTTACAATTGTCACATATTAGAATCAGCAACAGGGTTGTCCATTACATATCCTTCCTGTTCCACGTCTGCGTTCTTTGATGATGATCGCATGACATTGATGCAGTAGGCGATACAAAGCAGTGATTGCGCTATGTAAATCAAGCCGAGGGTACCTGTAGACCAGCCAAAGGAAGCGTATGGTTCGATGAATCCGGACGTTATTGTCCCAATGAAGATACCGAGAGGATACGCCGCACAGTAGAGGGAAACCAATGTATTGATAACCAGGATCGGCAGCTTACCTTGATTCCTAGATTGGTAAACTTGAAACATAACCGGCAGCGCTGAGATGCAAGCCATTGGAACTGCTAACCCCAAGAAGGCAAGAGAAAGAAGTAGCTGTGTTCTGGAGGGGGTGACGAATCTGAGTAGAGGGAGAGGGCCCACAAACACGTACACCAATGGCAAGGACATACTGGACGCAATCATCATCTTACACGGACCAAACTTGTCGATGAGAAGACCTAGGAAGGGAGAAGAGACACAAATTACTGCAGTGCTGACCAAAAGTGCGGTCCCAGACCAAACCACTCCCGCATCGAATGCCTCTTTTACATAGGTGGAAAGCAAAGGCATGTGGTAGGTGATGAGGATTTGAGATGAGGCAAGGTGCCACAATGGAAAGAGCACCCAGGGATCCAAGATAGTCTTCAAGCTTGAAGGGTCTTCGCCTGTACGCCTCTTTTTGCTGTTTAGACTTGGTAGAAAGAAGGCTGGGACAGCACTTATGAGTATTAGAGAACCTGGAACCATAGCAGCAGCAATGTAACCACTAGCATCGTAGAGGACCCCGCCTAAAAAGGGTCCAAAAGCCACTGCTCCATTGAGAACAGCCTCACCTATCGATGTGACAGTGGCGACATATTCAGGATATATTGCAACATATGCTGCAAATGTTGCGACGTTGATTATACCGCCGAAAATTCCTGCTATAAATCGAACTATTAAGGCAAAAGTTTCATAGGCACTCGAATTTTTGATGAAATCAAGCATAGCAAAAAGGAAAACAGAAGTTGCAAGGCCACTAAAACAGCCCGAAAGGACGAATCTGGTTGAAAACTTGGTAATTACGATCGGGGCAATAAAAACACAGGATAGCATCAGTCCAAAAGAAGCTGCCCCAAGAATCAATCCTGTCCAGTAGGTTGAAATTTCTCTATTCTCATTATAGACCGGCAAGTAGGAGTAGGGCAGATTAAAGAAGACAAAGGTAAAGATATGGAAGATACACATTGCACCAAATAGGATCCTTTTCTTGTTTGGAGAATAACTCTTTATATCCCATTTAGGAGGGGGTGCTTCGGCTGATGTATCGGGGTCATCTATCTTTTCTTTAGTTTCGTGGCTGCAGGGTTCACCCATCCTTCTAACAGTTATACAGCTTAAGGTTATGTGTTATCATGAGTATTCATATCTACAAAATTGAAGTGCTTAATAATAATATTTGTCTAATTTTAAAAGTTTTTGTCCCTAAAATGCAAAAATAGAAACAATCATAGAGCGGGAGTTGCAAACATTTGAAAGAAATGTTATCAAAATGTTAAAGGGGTCATCGATATTTATTAGGTTATGATCGAATTTACAATAAATTGAAAATTCCTAGGGTAATTTGAGAAACAATGAAAATTTGAACTCCAAACCAACAATTTCTTTGATAACACCGAAATAATCAATATTTTTTTGACAAAAAATCTTTCCAAATTGAATTCTCAAAACACGTATGCTATCGTCACTTGTCTCAAAAATTGAATTCTGGATTTTAAATCCAGAAGAAACATGATCTAGAAAAGGCTGCAGGCAGTCCGGAATTCTTTGTTCCGCTGTAAGGCCTAACAAAAGTCACAAGACAACTGACAAATTTGTAGATCCAATTGTGCAATCGAACTTTGACGACGTTTTTAGAATATTACTGGGTTCATGTTACTTGAATAATTCATTGTCATCATGTGTGCAGGTTTTAGGCGCAAGGTATCTAACCATTTTGATTTGATCTTCATTTCATCCAATCAAAAAGTCTGTTGAAGTCTACTGGTATGTGACCTGTCTTAAATCTTATTAAGGGCCGTGCTTTAAAGATGTGTGTATTAAATTATAAGATAAGAAAATGCTGCACTCTTTGTCTGCAACTCATGCTCATGTTTACAAGTGACTGGTCACACCAGGCGAGATCTTTAAAGGTGTGACTAGGATTGGGAGATAAAATAGGGCTCACTTATTCATTTTAATTATTTTTATTCAACTTCATTGCATTGTACCTATTTGTACCATGGCCTTTCTCCCTTTCCCGAATAATCCGCATAGTGTTAAAGTACCTGAAGGCTACAGACTATAAAAATAAATACAACGTATCTGAGAAAAATGACGTTTTAAAAAATGTCTGCTTCCTGAAGGCTATCAAAAAGTGAAATGTGAGGTGGTAAATGTAAGGGAGTATTTAACACTGGTAATATTATAATATCAGGTGAGACCAGCTCTTTTTAATTTTATTAAGGGTTCGCAATTCACTCTGATCCATTTTAATTTTAACACGTTTGGTTTAGTTTATAAATAACAATATTTCAGCAATTTTTTGATACGATGAAGAATGAAATTAAGTCTAAGCGATTATAATTCGTGTATATAGGGAGTTACGCCAACATTTTTAAAGTTAACCTGATAATTTCCACACTACAAGTTTCTACCAAATGATTCAGCTTAATTCCTGCTCCCGTTCTATACAAAGTTAAACACCCTTATTTTCAGCTTCGTGAAATTAAATTATCTTCAAAAATGTACGAATAAAAACAATTAATGATGAAGTCTACTGTCTATTACTTCATAAATTAACGATACATGTACTGCAATCATTGTAGGCAGATAGTCAATTTTAAATTTAATTGTAGTGATGGTCAACAATTTAAAGAATATTATCTGACAAGATGTTGCTACAAATACAGAAACGGAAAATTCAACAGAAAGTGGTGCCATAAAAATGTTAAGGATAAATATCCCCAGGCAAAAAGAACTGGGAACTGCGAGATCCTAAAATCCACACAAAATACTAGCCTTTGAATTCGAACTACTCTATGAACAGTTTCATTGCAGGCAGGAGGTGGCAATATATTCCGATTTTTTTTACAACCAAGACGTAACAAAATGCATTTATGATGATCTTTGAAAAAGTTGACTTAAAAATCAATTTTATCGCAGAGTAGACCGAAATTTATTGAGGCCTGTTTTTATTTTTTAGATTTGTGTGCAAATTCTCAATAGATAAATCTGACTGCAATGTTACATCTGACTGTAATGTTACATCTGACTGTATAATGTAACATCTAAGTTTCGGATTACATTTACTTTACACTTTACTTAAGAGAAGAACATGAGTAGCAATTCCACCACTGCTAAATTAATTTGTGTCGTAAATACTCGAATTTAAATCACGGTGTTATGTTGAAATCGAAGAGATTGGGGGTGGAAATTCATTTAAAATGTCTAGATGAATTTAAATTTTCACCATTAGTCCTAGCTGATCATCAACAAGTCCATTTATTAATGTTAATAAATGTAGATTATAGACATCTGTAAGTGATTTATCAGCTCCAATTCCACAAGAAAATATAGCTGTTTTTCGTTTTTCATTTTTAACAGCATCCTAAGGTCACAAATACTGATAAGTAACACTTATACTAATAGTCAACAGTAACATCTGAAAATGATCCTAAAAATGTTTGGTAACAGCATAATTATTGATTAAGTTTCATAACGAAGAGCTGCATATAAGGAACTTCGCATTATCATATATTAATAAAGTCACTAAATAAGAAGTAGAGTGTAGACATCATAGTGCTATCACAGAGCTTCATTAAAATTTACTTCTCCAGAGGGAGACAATCTTCTCTTTGTAGTAGAAGATCATGTAACCGGGAATCATGAAACACGAACTGAAAATATTGGGTTTTAGCAAGGAGAAAATTATAGAGGATTTAAGAGGACGTTGATGAAGAAAGATAAACTTACAAAGCATTTAACAGGACGATGATGAAGAAATGTAAACTAACAAAGCATCTAACAGGACGTTGATGAAGAAATAGAAACTTACAAAGCATTTAACAGGACGTTGATGAAGAAATAGAAACTTACAAAGCATTTAACAGGACGATGGTGAAGAAAGAGAAACTTAAAAAGCATTTAACAGGACGATGATGAAGACGAAGACTCCAGGATACTGATCCTTCACTACCCACGTCGGGTTCGCCTCCAAAGGAAGACCCTGAATTGTTAAGAATATCATTATTACTTCTCTTTACTGATAGCATTATAATGTTGATGAAGCCCTTTCCTAGGGATTTAAATACCGGCATCAAATAGTGATACTGTCAAACCATTTTATATCAATGTCAATTATATTTTCCCCATCAGAAGATGACAAATAATTTATCAATTAACCTGGGCTTCCAAGGTGCTGTTGTCACACCCGACAAACTTATCATACAGTGGATACCCCTCAATGATGGACAGACCAATCCTGAAAGTATCAGGACTGCTATAACGAGATGACATATCACCAGCCAGCAGGCATTGAAGTAGATATTCGGTTCATATCCTATCATAGCCTTGATATCTTTGCAGAACCTGCGGAATTAATGAGCGATATTGATATTTTCACAAAGCGTGTTTTATCAAGTTACTTTCCATACCCCTACGACTTCTTTTTCCTCGACATAGTTATTTGACTCCCAACTTATTATACTCCCGAGTTTAAGCTTATAAAATCTCAGCCCTAAATCAAACCATACGTCGCAGGGTTATACAATATACATTGAGGTGAAGTAAACTTTCTAAGTTTAATCAGTCTGTAATTCAGTACTTCATGTCATTTTTAATTTCAAAATTCAAATAAACTTTACATCAATGTATTACAGTTACCTTTACAAAAGACCACAATATCTCCTATGAGGGAAAAGACATGAAATATGAAAGCTAGAAAAATATATGAAAGCTTGAAATAAGAAAAATATCGATATAGGCCGATATTTAGAACGATTCTATTTGTATTTTATATTCATTTATTGCTGTACTCTGTGAAGTTGGAGAAGTATTTAATTGAAAAAATACTAACTTGTTAACACCATATACCCAAGCCACGACAACAATCTCTAAAAAAGCGACGATGAGGAGAGGATATGACAAGGACCAGTTATCAAGGAGGTCCACGATGTAGAGGCCTCCTTCGAAGGACATGGGAATAGCAAGGATACACAGCACCAGACAGATACCTCCTGAAAATGTTCACACGTTGGGGAATTTATAATATTTCAACAACTTTCTGGCATTATCATACGACATTTTATCATTCTTCAAATTTCAGAACAAAACATTAGTCAGTTTATATTTTATTCACAACCATCCAAAACAAACCTGAAACAAACTCCTTCCTAATTTTATTCAGATAAGTAAACTCATCCTTAAGTGAGGTGAGGAGACTTTCCAACATGCCAAACTGAGAGTCCAGACCAAGGAGGAAGAGCATGAAGAAGAAGAGGATGGACCAAAGGGGTCCCACTGACATCTCACTGATGGCATCTGTTATTGCTATGAACGCTAGACCTGGCCCTGATCAGCTCCTCAAACTTCACTCCTGGTAGTACAATGATTGGTTATTAGATTCAGTTATGACAATTATTTCATTAATTATGACAATTATGGCATTAATGCTACTAAAGCAAAAGAATAAAAGATGCTTATATATAAGTTTTCTAACACCATCGTTGAGATTTACTGGTCTTGTGAAGATAACGAATCCGCCGAACACGCTGGTACCACATTTTATTAGCGTAACTACTATTCCATCTGGGGGGAAGTTTAAACATTATATCAGTGTCACTTCTACTAAGAAAGCTTAATTTGAAGAAACCTATATTTGAAGAAAAAATCACATCTATTCTATAATTTTGATGAAAATAAAACCCTAGATGCGATAACCCTGCCTGCTGTCAACATTTTGAATACTCAAAGTATTAATTCACGTTCTATTATATAACCAACATGCCGATCAGAGGGGACATTTTGCTTGTTGTACCCGTGTTTTCACTGTTAACACTTTAAACTACTGTACCTCTGATACAGTCGTTGTTGCTCTTGTTGTATGAAGAGTAAGTGACCACACTGCCAAATGATATTCCCCGCGAGTAGAATATCTGGGTAGCTGCGGTTCTCCAGACTGTGGGGTCCGCTAGGTGCTCCCACTGTAAGGGTGATTATTGTTAGAAACTTTAACTTAAAATTATGTTATAGTAGTTCAAACTAGCAATGTGATATTTATTCTGAGAAATCGTTGCAGGTTGAATTTGCAATGGTATACGAGCTGAAGCTGTAACTTAAACTAGAAAACATATTTATTTTTAAGCACAACTGCAATGACTGCTGATGTATCACAGACTTAAACCTCCATTCAAACACAAGGATACATTTCCTAACTTAAGATATAACGCATACCTTTGGGGTAAGGTAGTAGAGGATGCCTTCTCTGGCTCCGGGCAAAGTGACTCCTCTGAAGAACAGAACAACAAGCAATAGGTAGGGGAAGGTAGCGGTGAAGTAGACAACTTTACCTGACGATTCCACCCCTGAGAATAAATTAATGTGAAGTTAACATGAGCATGTAGAGATTCATTCACAATTGATAATACATTGAGGAACACTGGCAGTACTCGAATCTAACAATAAACCTCCTAGCCGATCGGACTGCGGACACACTACGTTTATAGGTTAAGATATTTGGTGGATTCGTGTAGTGTTTTTGAGTCTCATGATTTGATAGTTCTTTTATTCAAATTTCTGATTGTTTCTGAATAGACTCAGTGAAGACAGATTCTAATGGAAATAATGGAAATAATGGAAATAAATAGCTGAATAACGTATCGACATTTCTACGTCATACTCATATTCTGAAATAGTATTAATTCAATTAAAACGATCAATATTCACATTAAAAATTTGACGACGAAATTTATTTCAAACAAAATATATAACTGTAAAATAGTTATCAACCGTAAAATAGTTTTTAACGAAATCATAGCAAATATGAACATAAAACTGACAAAATTTATCAAATAGGGCTCATCTGAAAATTAACGAATAGCGTGACGTGTATAGGAGATAAAAGATTAAAAGAGATAAAAGAATTAATGGACAGCAGAGGAGTGAAATTAAAACGAGAATATTACTATTCACACGTCACTCAACTAAAAACTGTGTTAGATTGTTCAACTCTATTTTATCGTTGAGTGTTGGTTTATTTTCAACTAAAAATCGGGCTTCTTTAATCTTTCTGTTGATGAGTGATGTTCCTCTATCTACGATTTGAAGTTTTAGCTTTGGGGGGCCTTTGTGCTGAGGGTGACTTTCCCTGTAGTGCTTTGCTAGTGGCTTATCTTCGTAAGATTTTGCTGTTGGATTTGCCGCACTACGGTAATGCTCGTCGAACCTGCACTTGATCGGTCTGTATGTTTAAGATATTGGTCCGAAAGCAACCCAAAAATGTTTCTACATAGTGGGATTGATGAACATAGTAAATTTAAATTCGTTACAATTTGCTGGCCGTGAATGAATGGTAAAAGCGAGCGACCATTTTATTCTCGGTATCATTTTGCACTTTAATTTACTTTAAATATATCAATATGTCATTTCTTTTTGTTTGGAAAAATGTAGCACTGGTGACGGTCCAATTTACCCGATCTTGGTAAATACAGCGAATTTTAGAGAATACGAATACAATTACACGACGAACAATTCCTGCGGTCAGGCAACATGCAATCAGGTGATCTGCAATCAGGCGATCTGCAATTCTAGTGATTGAAAATCATGAAGTAACGGCGATAATTAGTGATTTGGACCTAATTAACCTGATCGTCAACACGCTTTTATCTTTAAAGGTGAGGGATTGTTTGATGGGCGAGGGTCTGAACGTTGTAGTGATGTGAATTTGTGGATTATTATTTTCAGTTGACCATTTTATGATAGTAAGGGGAAAAGTGGCATTCCGTTGGATTTAAATGTTCACAAGGATTTAGCAACGGAATATGGTAGTTAAAACCCCTACGAACATAATTAGACTTGTCACCAATTTTGTATCTCGACAGAAACACCACTTTTTACCACTTTTTACCACCTTTGTACCACTTTTCTGGTTTGCCGAATATCTTTAGTTGTGAACGTCGTAGAAGGCTGGAAATTAACCTAGAATGTTTATCTTATCAAGGAGTAAAACTTTTATAAGAAAAATGTGTACATTGGACAATCAGCTAATTGGATAATTACCAATTAGTTAATTACCAAAAAAAGTGAAAAATTTTTATTGGCTCAAAATGATTAAAATCGTTTGAAACACGGAGAAATGTAGTTTTTAGAAAAACTTCAAAACTTTTTCACTTACAAATTTTTTTCGAGACTTGGAAAAATTTCGAAAATTTGAAAAAAAAAATTTCCGCCAAAAGTGATCGAATTGCATGAAACGTGGATAAAAATGCTTTGCAGAAAATCTTCGAACCTTTTTAGATTGGGGAATACTAAAATCATCAATATTTGAAGTTGGAGTTCAGTAAATCTCGGCATATTTTAGTAATTAGGAATAGCTTAGCGGAAAGGGCTGAACCTGAAAAACGTTAACCACACAATATTAGAGTTTCATAACTAATTACAATACAGCTTTATCAAATTCCACATAAAGAAACAGCACAAAAGGACCGTTTAAGATCGAACCGATTTTACCTGCTGTATACTATCATTTTATTGATTTCAATGATCAAAACCTCTCTGTACCGTCAATCTTGCCAATCTACACCGGGTATCTGAATGTACCGGACCTCTTCTTTGCCTCTATAATAATTAGACCCAGTTGTGCAAGAAATGCGATTTCTCACAGGGGCTTCTTTTAACTGTGCACCTTTTGTCACTCTCGCAAGAGGCCTGGTATAATTATAGGGGGGTATAGGAAGTGTAAATATACCTTCCATCATCCACTGTGGCTTTTTTGTGTTGTGAATGCACATGCCGCTTCGTTTGCTATGCAAGATACCTCGAATAACCCCCATATGTCATTGCCAGGGTCGGGATAGAGCTGGAGATAGCATTGAGAGGTTGCTAGAAATAGCTAGACTTAGAATAAACTGGTGGTAGCTGGGTGGTGCTAGCATGGAGGTAGCAGAACGGGGTTTCATTGGAGTTGGTTATTTTAATGGCCAAAGAGTGCCGGAACTAAAGTTACTTAAGATTGCAGTTTAGGGGCAGTGCAAACCACGGTGGAGTCAGGGACACAGAGCTACAGTGCAGGAGTACTGCAAAAGAACAGTGCAAGTGATACAGTCTGCAACAGTAAAACGCCGAAGAAGGAGATAAGATTTCTGGCTGCAGAGGAGGAGAGGAGCAGGAACCTGATTGTGTTTGGGTTGAAAGAAGAGGAGGAAGAAGAGTTTCCTGCTCTGGTAACCGCATTTTTGGAAGAGGTGGGGTGAGAACTTAATTCCAAGCGACACGGTGGGCTGGAACCAATCAGGTACAGCTATCCGACCTATCAAGATCACCGTCCTGAGCTTTGTACCGCGACAATTGACCCCCTAACAATTGACCCCCCGACAATTGACCCCCTATGTAATTACACTGGCGTCAAATGTCGCAAAATCTAGGGCTTAGTACGACAATTGACCCCCCATGTAATTACACTCAATTGATCGGGTTAGGGTCAGGGTCCTGGGTCAGGGTCAGGGTTAGGGTTAGGGTTAGGGTTAGGGTTAGGGTTAGGGTTAGGGTTAGGGTTAGGGTTAGGGTTAGGGTTAGGGTCCTGGGTTAGGGTCCTGGGTCAGGGTCAGGGTCAGGGTCAGGGTCAGGGTCAGGGTCAGGGTCAGGGTCAGGGTCAGGGTCAGGGTCAGGGTCAGGGTCAGGGTCAGGGTCAGGGTCAGGGTCAGGGTTAATTGTATTAAATTATATTTCCGGGGGTCAATTGTCGGAGGTCAATTGTCGGGGGGTCAATTGTCGCCTACCCCTAAGCTTAACCCCTAAGCTTAACAGCCTTTCATC